CTCTACATGGCGGAGGAAAAACCGTTGAAACGTATGCGTTATTCGACGAAGGATCGTCTGTCACATTGGTTGACAGCACGATCTCCCAGAAATTGGGTCTAAATGGCCTGAAGCGAAGCTTCAACCTACAGTGGTATTATGGAGGAAGAGCAACTCGGGAACCAACCGTAGTGGTGGACTTGTTCGTCAGTGGAACAGGCATGAAGAAGAAACATAAGCTTCGAAACGTTTACAGCGTGTCAAATTTGAACTTGCCCACGCAGAGCCTGAGCGAAGCAGACCTACGAAGTTCTTCACGCCATAAGCAGAAACTACCACTGGAGCCATACAGTGGAGCAGTGCCAAAGCTTCTGATAGGACTTGACCATTGCCATCTGGGCATACCTGCTGGGATCATGCAAATTAATTGTATCGGGCCGTACGCTGCCAATACTGAGCTTGGTTGGACCGTGTTTGGGCCAAGGGTGGAAACTTCATCTAGCACGCAAGTATGTTTGTTTACGAAGCCAGCTTCAGATCAAGCGATGCATGATATGATTGCAGAATACTTCGAAACTGAGAGCTTCGGTGTAAAGCCATTCCCGCCGGTTGAAAGTGCGGCTGACCTGCGCGCAAAGGCAATTTTGCATTCAACAACACGCCGAACAAACGGTCGATATGAGACCGGCCTATTATGGAAGTATGGCGATATTGAGATGCCCGACAGCTAAGAAATGGCGCGAGAACGATTGATAAGCATAGAAAAGAAAATGCAGCGTGATGACAACTTTGCAAAAGTCTACAAGCAAATCATCAACTCATATGTTTCTAAAGAGTACGCAAGAAAATTACGACCCGAAGAGGCCGCTGCATTCACCAAGAAGACATGGTATTTGCCACACTTTGGCGTGGTTAATCTAAATAAGCCAGCCAAATTACGTCTCGTTTTCGACGCCGCCGCAGAGACACATGGAGTGTCACTCAACTCGCTACTCCTGAAAGGACCACAGGAATATAGAGCACTACCAACCATTCTATTTCATTTCCGCGAAGGAGCAGTAGCCGTTTGTGGCGACATCAAGGAAATGTTCCACCAGATTGTGATTCGGCCAGACGACAGATGCGCTCAAAGGTTCCTTTGGCGCGATGGTGATACTACAAGAGAGCCAGATGTCTATGAGATGATAGCGATGACATTCGGTGCAGCATGCGCGCCATGCGCTGCGCAATACATCAAAACTCTGAACGCAATGGAACACTCTGATAACGCCGCTCGAGCTGTCAAGGCAATCCTGGACTACCACTACGTCGACGACTTCGTCGATAGCTTCAGGAACGTAGAGGAAGCCATCACTGTATCTCAACAAGTACGAGCCATTCACCGAGACGCTGGGTTTGAACTCCGCAATTTTACTTCGAATTCGCCCGATGTACTTACTGCGTTGGGCGGTGTGGAAGCCACGATTGCAATCGCCAACAAAACGAGCTTGTCCATGGAAAAGGTCCTAGGAATGTTTTGGCAGCCATCAATAGACAGCTTTGTGTTCAGGCTGAATTTCCACAATGTCGACAAAAGAGTTGTGTCTGGTGAAAGACGCCCAACGAAAAGAGAACTCCTCGGCATCATTATGTCTATATTCGACCCGTTGGGATTTTTGAGCCACATCACAATTGCCGCTAAGCTAATCATGCGCGAAGTCTGGAGACAACAGTCGAGCTGGGACAGCCCTTTACCTGACGACATATCTGCCTCCTGGGAAAGGTGGCGTCAAGAATTGCCGGCGATGGTGGAATTGGAGATTCCGAGATTCTACTTCCGGAACGGCACACCAACACAACGTCAACTTCATGTATTCGTCGATGCCAGCGAGGAAGCCTTTGCCGCCGTAGCCTATTGGCGTGCCATCAATTCCACTGGTGAAGTCGAAATCGCCTTTATTTGCTCCAAGGCAAAGTGTGCGCCACTGAAGCCACTCACAGTTCCGCGCCTGGAACTCCAAGTAGCCGTGCTTGGCACACGTCTCCTTCAGACTATACGAGAAGAACATTCCGTGAACGCCTCCAGCTGCATGCTATGGACCGATTCAAAAACTGTTGTGAATTGGATCAAGAGTGAACATCGACGCTACAAGCCATTTGTGGCGCATCGGGTGGCTGAAATCTTAGCCACCACTACGCCATCAAACTGGAGATGGATCCCAACTGGTGAGAACGTCGCAGACGAAGCCACTCGTGCCGATGGAAGATCCAAGAATCGCTCCACCTCACGTTGGTTGTGTGGACCAAAGTTTCTACTAGCCGAAGAGTCTAAATGGCCAAGTCAAACTGTCGTCGATAGTAATTAGCCAGAAGTGGAAGAACTGCGTCCGAAATATGCCTTAGTCATTGTAAGTCCAAAATTTGTAAATTTTAACCGTTTTTCTTCATTCGGAAGACTAGTGAGAGCCATTGGTTGGGTATTACGGTTGGGTATTGTACACAAGTGTCGCCGCCAACAGGTTGCATGTTGCAGCGAGCATGGCTTGACATCATTAGAGCTTGATGCCGAAAAGCGCGTTCTTTATCGTCACGCACAACAAGAAGCGTTCCAACCAGAATTGGAGCAGATCGAAAGTGGGCACGCCATTTCCCGCAGCAGCTGTCTGTTTCAGTTGACGCCATATTTAGATAATGAAGGAGTCTTGCGCGTAAAGGGACGTATCGACGCCGCAAGTTGGTTGCCTTTAGATACAAGGCGACCTGTAATTCTTCCATCCAAACATAGTTTGACGAAGCTTATTATTGCTCACCACCACCACGAGCTAAAGCATCAAAATGTCGAAGCGACTGTATGGGAAATTCGCCGCCGTTTCTGGATCCCTCGTCTGCGGCAAACTTTGCGGAACGTCATTGCCAATTGCTTTGTGTGCCGCCTGACTAAGGCAGCGCCTATTGCTCCAATCATGGGTCCTCTGCCAGCAGATCGACTCACACCATTCGTCAGGTCATTTAGCTACACTGGCCTGGACTACTTTGGACCTGTTAACGTCACGATCGGCCGCCGCCAGGAAAAGCGTTGGGTGGCGCTCTTCACCTGTCTCACGGTGAGAGCTATTCACCTGGAGCTTGCGTTCGATTTGAGCACAGACGCATGCATTGTGGCCATCCGAAATTTTATTAATCGCCGTGGTGTGCCAGTACGACTACGATCCGACAACGGAAAGAATTTCGTTGGCGCTAACCGAGAAGCGAAAAGGTTTTCCGAAGTGTTTGATTGTGGTCGTGTGCAGGACGAGCTGTCATCAAAGGGCGTCGAATGGCTGTTCAACTGCCCTGTGAACCCATCTGAAGGAGGCATATGGGAACGCATGGTACAATGTGTCAAGCGAGTGCTATGTCAGACGCTCAAAGAAGCTGCGCCAAGGGAGCATACCCTTCAATGCTTCCTGATCGAGGCAGAGAACGTGGTGAATTCACGGCCACTAACCCATCTACCTATCGCCGCCGACCAGCAGGAGCCACTCACGCCCAATCACTTCCTCCTTGGAACCGCCAATACCGCACAGACGCCGAGTGTTGATACTGAACCAGAGAAGATGTGTGCCTTGCGCAAACAATAGAGAATTTCGCGCCAATTACGTGACCATTTTTGGAAAAGATGGATCGCGGAGTATTTGCCTACACTTACACGTCGTGCTAAGTGGTGCGAGGTTACTGAGCCATTAAAGGAAGGTGACGTAGTCTTCGTGTGTGATTCGAATGTGCCAAGGAAGCAATGGTGTCGAGGCGTTGAGGAGCGTCTGTATCCCGGTGTAGATGGAGTATGCCGGCAAGCGGATGTGCGTGTAGCTGGCCGAACAGTCATACGGCGCGCTGTATCTAAGCTAGCCGTTCTGAACCTGGAAGATGGTGAATCAGGATGATTCACGGGGGGTGGGGTGTCATTAAACGATTCCTTAATGCAACACTGTGTCT